CATAAAATTTGATTGGAGAAGGAGCTTCCCATTCTCGCCTCTCCGCCAATCCTAAATAAGAAGGACCATGGGTTCAAATGGATGAAACGTTGGGGGACTTAACGGGTGCAAAAGAGAGAAATTCGCAGTTTAATTCATAGTCATTTCCCGGGGATAGGTATAACTGGCTACCCGTCATCCATTATCGCCACTGATCTCTGTTTATGACCTGCTATCCGTTACTTACATACTATGTCACTCACGCCATTAGGGTAAAATGGAATCTGAATTAACTTTTTTTTTTTTTAATTCTTGTTCTTTTTGAGCAATGAATTTAAACTTTAATTATTTTTGGTCTGGCCTTAGAAGTTTATTGGGTTTGGACTTGACTTTTAAATATTTTGGGTTTAATTTTTTTCAAATGGACCAAATTAATTACAACGTGAATTTGGACTTGGACCATAGCTTTAGGTCTCTTTTTTTTCTTCTTTTAGATGGTCATAACTTTAGGTCTTGAAGCTTTAAATGGAACCATCTGTCATGAGAATTGGACGACCATATCTAATGGAATCCATTCTCTTTATTGGATCATCTTTTGGTTGCGTTTATGTACTGTCAACAAGCATGTGTATGGCCCAATACGCGATTGGACCCATTTGGTTATGTTAAGTTCTCATTTCATATCAAGGGAAGCTTCTTTATTTTAATTTTTAACCCGACCTTTCATTTTTACTTTTTAAAGGTTGGGAAGTTGTAAGATAGATGACCAAGTCACCACCTTTATCGTGTATATAGATATCTTCATATAATATCATTTTTTCCTAAGATTGTGAAGGGTTCAACTCGTATCTTTATTGTAGAATCAAAGTTTTAAAGTTAATATTTATATGTTACTAATTCAATTAATTTTTTATTGATAAGGGTGGAACCAAAATCAATTAGTGGATAGAGTTTATTGTATTTTTTTAACTAACAAAATCTAAAATTAAAAGGTCTTGTGTGTTATTTTTATTTTAATATATACAGCCTATAATTACAAAATTTTAAAATATAGACATTTTTTAAAAGAGGGATAGTGCCTATGCTTAACCCCTCTTCAATGTAGATCTACCTTGCTTATTGGTTGATAGATCTATTCTAGACATCTCATTAGGAGTGGCCACTGGCCAGGTCTCAGTGTCTTGAAAGTTTAAAGTTTATGTTTCAGATCATGTTATGGTTTGATAAAAGTATTATGGAGACATAATTATGGCTGGGCTTTCCTTGGTGTATTTTAGTGTAACATTTTGTTTCATGGTGATTAATTAGTTGAGATATAATTATTCACATGACACTGCAAGAGTCTCTCTTAACTGTGAAATTACATGTAAGGGAGGGCTTTTCGGTGTAACACATTGTTTTATGTGCTGGAATTGCATCAGATATATTTTTGTTTTACGTGTAAGCGGGATGTACTATGAGTTTGAACATCCTTTATAATTAATTAATTAATAAATTTTTATTTCCTTTAAAGAAAAGAAAAGAAAAAGAAAAAGAAACTGGGTGGCTGTCAAATTCGATTCGGTCCAATAACCAAACCAACAAAAATTCTGAAATTGAAGTAATAAATTGATTTTAAATAAGCATTTAAATTAGTGAGATTTGGTGAGTTAATTAGAAGTGAGATGTAGAAAAACGCAGCTGTAACCAGGGAAATAGTGAATGATTGGGTTGGGTTTGGTCATTCTCAATAATTTGAGTCTAACGATACGTAATTTTTTTAATGACCAATAAGGACGACTGTGACTTCATTTAATAATACTTTGCTTCTTTTTTTTTTTCACGTATCGTGTTATTTAAAATATAAATTTGTAAGTGTTATATGATTTTGACCCGTTTGTTACAGTGGTTTGGAGGTAGTGGTGGATGATTTTGTTTGAACAGTTAAGAATAGGTATTTAATAAATTTATTTATTTTGAAATTGTTATAAATTAGGTATTTGGTAAAATTTTTTATTTAGTAATTTAAAATTAACAGATAGTAGTTAGAGTCCAAATCAGTAAATGATTGAAAAAGCTATGTAAGGTAGATTTTTGAACCAAATCGTTAATGAACTGTAATTTTTTTAATTTTATTGATAAATTTATTTTTTTTAATTTTTTAACTTTTGGCTACATTTTTAATTAGTATTTA